CTCTTGGTGGATGCGATTGAAGTCAATCAATTATGGACAACATGGTGTGGGGCAAAGAGAAAGAAGAAGAAAAGAAGAAGAGGTCTCGTGGGTGGAGCCTCATGAAAACTCAAGTTTACGAGCCCTCAATCATGGTTTCGTCCAAAGCTCGTGACTTGAGACTTCATCTAACCAACGAGAACCTCAACTTCAAGGAGGTTCTTGGGTGGACCGAAACTTGAAGAGCAACCGTCCAGCTTACGACGTTAAAGATGCGCTTGTTGGGAGGCAACCCAACCACCATCGGTTTGTTTCCTTTTGGCTTCAATAAGTCGACCTTTTGTTTTGCGCCTCCTTGCTCTTCCGGATCTCACCCGCACTCTGCCCCCGAACACCAACATTCCCTACTATCTGGTAACATCGTTCTACCTTCTTCGTTTACGCCATTGAGGGTAATGTCGAGCTTAAGTGTGTGTGTGTGTGGGGGGGGGGGGTAGTTCACTATGCATGTGTGTGTGAATGTTTGGTGTGATTTTGAATGCCTGGAGCCTAGTTGTATGCCTAAATTTGAAAAATTTGAGGGCTCGAAGCATAGCAACTTCTACATTTGAATGCTCATAGTGGCACTTGTGTTGTTTTGAATCTTTTGGTTATTAGCATTTTGTATGGATGATTTGCTTGTGATTGTGTGCAACCTATTATGATGATTAAGACATGTATTAGGTTTGTGCATAGGTTCATTTCTCATGTGTTTGTGAACCAATAGATGTTTTGAATCGATTACTTGCTTTTCACAGTTGCCTGTGCATCGTGTTTAGGGAATTAGAACCAATGATTGAGCACCTAGGTAGCCATGTGAGACTTGTGTCATTTGTTTCTTTCTAGTGCGATAGATCCTCTTTACATGATGTGTAGCATTCACGTTGTTGCTAGCGAGGAAGTTGGAGGCATAGGTTTAGCCTACGACCCAAAATTTGACTTGTCCCGATCATATTATCCCTTAGTCAACCCTTTATGAGCCGTGTGCCTAAGAGTAGTTCTCGTGTTAGATAGCTCACGCTACTTGAGCTTGATTGATTTAGGATAGAACGACCATTTGCTTTCTTCGTGTCTACACCGTTATCGAGTCACCCTTGTGTTTAGAAGCTCCATTCATACCGTTTGAGCTTAGATGAGGTTCCACATGAGTGATTTGTGTATGGTTTTGCTAAGAATGTGAAGTGAGTGTGGAGGTAGGTCTTAAAAATGAACTTTGTTCCTTAAGTTAAAGAAGTATGGCATGTGTATATAGCTCTCTATAGCCCCCAAACAAAAGAGAAAAGAAAAAAAAAGAGATCAATAAGAGGGCAAAGAAGAAAAGAGAGTGGCCACCAAAAATATAATAAATGTTGAACATGCTCTTCGAAGTGTTGCTTAGCATGCAAGCTTTAGGAACACTTACAAGTTGTTTTCCTACCGCACTCTTGTGCTTGAAATTGACTAGCAAAAGTAAAAGAAATTATGTGTGACTTGGTTTGGTGATTGGTTGTGGTATGGAATTGAGGCAGTGCGGTTTTTGGCCGATGCTAGTGGCCATTGAGTATAGGAGAGGGTTCTAATCGAAACCTTAGAACCCTTTTGTGGTTTTAGGTCGAAGATGTGGAACCTCAAGTTATGTTTGCCACCACTCAAAAACCATTTTCCCCATGTTCTAGACCCGAGCCAGTCCTTTGAACCTGTGTCTAAGACCTCCGAACAAGCTAGCAACGCCACCCATCTTGTGAGCTCTAGCATTTAGAGGCTACCATCATGGTAAAGGGACATTAGGATTGAGCGTGAACATGCACATCTTTTGTATCAAATGGTCCTGGCCCCACTGGTCGAGAGTGAGTGATTCATTCATCATGTTTTGTTCATTTCTTATACCCCGGTGAGGACCTAGGTTGCTCGATCGTTCATTCCTATGATGTAATCTTCATGCATGAGTAACTGTGATTGATGAGTCGTCGAGGCATGTTGTGTGTGGGTTCGTTAATAATGTAAGAACTCTTCTTTTGCACAATCTTAATATAGTTGAATGTCGTTTGTGGTGGTTTCCATGATTACTTTGTTTCTGTCCATAAGTCGGTGTCAAATAACCATTGTGATCCATTTGTTTTGTGCCCAATGACATCCCCCAAAAATTTTGTTGAAAAAAAAGTTGTGAGATTACCTTGTTTCGTACTTGGTTTGCTTGGGGACAAGCAAACGTCTAAGTGTGGGGGAGTGATTCGGGCCTAATTGTACACTTTTTATCCCCGATTATGTTTGACGTTTGTTGCAATTGAACTCCAAAAAGGTTGGTTTTACGCGAGGTTGCTGTGTTTCAGTGTGTTTCAGATCCTAACAAGTAAAACAAAACCCGGAGTCGAAATTTGGAAGAAAAGGAGCAAAGACCGGGAAAAGAGGTGGAGACAGCCAGTGTTCACGGCCTGACGTTGGAGTTCACGTTCTTACAGGGCTGTGAACTAGAGCCAAAACCCGTGAACCAAGGAGCATCCAAAGGGGGTTTTCAGGTTACTAACACCCAGGCTGTTCACGGTCGCTAAGACCGTGAACAGAGGCAACTAACCATGAACTCGAGCCAATGAAGCAGTGCGTTTTGGTCTCAACATTGAGTTCACGGACGCGTTTCAATGTTCACGGCCGTGAACTCAGGTCGTGAACTGGGCACGATCTCAACTTAAAAGGCCATCTGAAAGGAAGAAGAGAGGGGGAGACCTAGTGTGAGAAACTTCTCCTTATTCAGATTTTAGAGCGAGAAAGTGACAAACCAAAGAAGAGGAAAAGCCAGGGTTTCATCTCCAAGCAAGTTTTTGGGAATTCCTCCCCCAAAGGAGGATTTCTTTAGCAGAAGGAGCAAGGCTTGTTTAGAACGGTCCTTAACCTAAGAGGCTCTATTAGAGGTGGGTTTCCTTGGGCATTCTATGCCTCCTATTCTAGGTTAGTTAAAGGGAAGACCTCATATTTCGTATTAGCAATTAGGGTTTGGTTGTGGGTGGTCGTCCGAACTCCAATTCGAGGGTCAAGTCTAACCATTCATTAGTCAATAGGCTGAGAGGGTCGCATTAGCGGCTTGGATCGTATCCCATTTCCTCAACCTAGAGACTAAGAGGGTAGCCTTGGCTACTTGTTAGACTTCCCTTCAATTTATAACCCCTTAACCACACACGATCATTCGATCCTTCTAGTCGTAATTGCTAGTTAGGGGGAGCAACACCCGAGCAAATTCTTCTCTCATTGGGACAACCTCGATTTACTTTACTTGCTTGCTTTCATTTGTAGGTTTATTAGTTTTAAACCCAAAAACGTTTGCTAGATAACAAAATAAGCGATTGAAGTAGGGGTACATAGACCGGCCCGGGTTTGTCAATTAAATACTTGCCCTATACTACACCCGACTAGAGTTTAAAAACTTGGGCTCTAGTCGGGATTAGTTCGCGGTGTAGTTTTGTGTGAGTCAGTAACATTGAGTTTGACAACCATTGACTTTCGCTCATTTTTACCAACTATCAAGAAAATAAAAAAATCATTTTCGGAATTATTATTAATCATCACAAACCTTTGACTATTCATAATAATTGTTAACAATCCTACCTTGTTAGTGGGATACCCAAGCGGGCTTGACTCGGCCGGGGCGGGTCGGGGCGGATGGGCTACCTGACTTGTCGAAGTAGGCGAATACCCTACCCACTTCTCACAAGGCACACACATATCGATAGACCAATTATATACATATGACAAAGGCTAGGTGTACGCTATACATCTGCGTTCACACCTATTATTTGTACTTTTGACAAATCAGTACCGTTGATTTTCATTTTAAGATTAAATTAATCTTATGATTTGGGTTAGAGAATTGGGGACAATGGTCTGGATGACAAAACTCGACGGGCATATGGTAACTCGGTAAGGTAAGAGTATTCCTGGCATACGCTAGTCTGAACCACACAGACACAATGCGCCAGACCTTTACACCGTTGATCTAATCTAACGATCATTATAAATTATAATAAAATCAATAATAATAATTAGTACTTGCATCCCTTAAATAATTATACATCCGATAGTGTCCCCCAACAGTATTTATCACTATATTTAATATTGCAATACGTAATTTCATTTAGTCATACTTTTAATCCCCCAAAATTCATATAATTAAAGAAACACAACTGCCATCAAAATTTATTCCATTACTCTACCTATTATAAGGTCCAACTTTTCTCCAAACCCCAGTTTGTTCTTCTTTAGCTTCTCTTTCATTATAGAATTCCAGATAGAAAGTTGCAGAAGGCGGCAAGCTGTATGAACATCCAACCCATTGAATCCGTTTTTCTCCCTTTCACCTTTTAACGACATCATTGCAAACCAGAAAATCCTTTTCAATTTCCCAATCATCAAAATTCATTCCAACCCGTTAATCATCTTCAAGCCGTAAATATTTTCCATCAATTTCACCATCATCAGAACCCTTCCCAGCTTCTTGACCCATCGTCGATCAATTTATTTGACGGCGATCCACCGCCGTATCCAGAGTGAAAAATTGATATGGTTGTTTTGTTTTCTGAGCGAGCTTGAAGGACCGAGGGAACTTAGTCGAATCGAGATCTCGTGCTGGGATAAGGAATTGGAAAGAGTTTATAATTGTTGGCAAAATCGAGACTATCGACAATGTCTAATAGATCCACAACGAGAAACCTTTAGATCCAACCTCCACATGGGATGAAAACCCACATCGCCATTAACCCAATTCAATCAAGCATAACCCCAAAATACCAAATCGCCATTCTTGAACTAGATGGAAACAGAGCATACTCATTCAAGAGGCGGAACATTAACCATAGCTTTGATCTTAGAGTAGTAAGATCCGGTGAAGTTAGGAGTGTCCTCTTCCTTGAACCAAATACCGGACCCGAGAGGGTGCATGTCGTCGCACTCGAAGATACAACCGCTGAAGTAATTAATCATAACAAGGTCCTTGTCCCAGCAGACATCAGCAAGGGTCAGAGTGCCGAGGCGACCACATTGGTCGTGATGGTCTCGACCTTGTGGGATTCGCACCACTCGACGTTGGGGCGGTCGGTGACGCCGGCGGCGTTGAAGACGTGGGTCGGCTTGATGGTGGCGATGTCGTTCTCGAGGAAGGTGCGGTTCTCGAGCCTGCCGGAGTCGTAGGTGTAATCGATGCCCTGAGATTCACAGATTTTTCCCGGCCAGGAGGCCGCCGATCCAGCCGGTTCGGCCTTAGAGGAGGAACTTGAGTTGGTTGTTGCCATTGCCGTTCGCCAATTGATCCATTTCTGGTAACTGGATATGGCTGGTCAGAGATGGTCCGGGGAGCCGACTGAGGGACGAAGAGGCGGAAGAAAGCTTTTCTTGTTTTGGTTGATTGGTAGTGTGTCTTTTCGGGAGTGGGATTCGTTTGGGGCAATGTTGTCAACCCGCGGGTTGACCCGAACCCGGTCGAGTTAGTGGGTCAAGGGTTAATGGGTCAACCGTTTTAGCCCAGTTTGACCCGGAAATATAGAAAGAGTCATTATATTGTACTTATCCTCACAAATTATATCAAATCTTATCTAACATATGAGTTATAACATATAATATTACACCAAAATAACATATCGTACTTAGATCCAACATATAGTGAAAATTCACACACACTTATATAACATAAATATTCAAATGTTCAACTTAGTATTCCAAAGATTGAGTTAGGGGAAAAGAAAAATTGGAAAATAGGCGCATTTCGCAAACTAAAGAAAAAAAATGATACAATTTGACCTCCAACTCGGTACCTTATAGCGGTCGGCCCGGCGGGTGCGTGCGGCCCGTTTTTCTCACCGGATCAGGGTCAAATTGGGTCGACCCGCGGGTTGACCACCTTGGTTTGGGGTGATAAAGAAATACATAACAAATTTAGATGAATAAAAACTATCAATCATACAAAATTTAGGTAGGTTAATCTATCTACGGAAGAAACATGGTAGTTTAATACAAAAAGTAATAAGAAAAATTGTTAGATGACTACATTGTACGCATCAACTTTTTAATGGATGTAGTAAGTAATTATAATTGACAATTAATAATTAATTTCATTAGAAATAATCATGCTCGTTGGATTAGATCAACGGTGCAGAGAGCTGGAGCATGCTATGCGTCTGGAGCATGCTATTCGTATGTTCCAGACGCATAGCATGCTCCAGCTCTCTGCACCGTTGATCTAATCTAAAATTCATTATAAATTCCTATAAAATTAATTACTTGTTATTAATACTTACTAATTGCACCCCTTAAATAATTGTACGGTGCACTATAGTCCCCAACTATTTTTACCATGACTTTCTATATTATAGTCTCTTATTTTTTTTTTCAATCATAATTTTGAAGACCTAAATTTGTCTAAGGTCTAGTTTTTCTCTACTAAGAATTATTTGAAAAGTTCCTCCAAGATAAATGGTATTGTTGCGTGTTGCGTGTTACTTGTTGACTTGGTAATTAAGTAACCGTGTCCATCAAGGAATTGGTCTCCTTGTTGTAATTGAACTCGTGTTTCCTGGTTATTTTAGCCGAGTTCTCTAGTCTTGGTGTATATATATTTTTTAGCTATGCTCATGTCATAAGCAAGCAAAGTATTCGTAAAATCATAATACGATTCTCAGCTGTTAGCTCTTTTGAGCTTACCTGGATTAGTCTCGGTCAATCAGAATGAGGATACCACGTAAAACTCTTGTCTTGCGTTCTCGTTGTTCCGGTTGTTAATTTTTTCATGGTATCAGAGCTGACTACGTTCTTAGCTAGGGTTTTCGTTTGGTGAAGTTGTTCTTTTGGGTTTCTCACCGCTGGTGTTGCTCATTAGGTTAATATGGGTGATGACTTGTCCATCAAAGGAAAGAAGCCACAAGTCATCAGCGATGTCATAAGTCTGACGTCGCCCTTGTTTGTCCATCCATCGAACACACCGAGTCAAGTTAATTTGGGTCAAATTGTACACTTTTTATCCCCGTTTAGCTTTGACGTTTGTTTCAATTGAACTCCAAAAATGGTGGTTTACGCGAGGTTTCTTGTGTTTCAGTGTGTTTCAGATTCTAATAGGCGAAACTAAACCCGGAGTTGAAAGTTGGAAGAAAAGGAGCAAAGACCGGGCCAAGTGGAGGAGACAACCACAGTTCACGGTCTGCCATTGGAGTTCACAGTCTTACAGGACCGTGAACTGGAGCCACAATTCGTGAACCAAGGAGCGCCCATAGAGGGTTTTGAGGTTACTGACACCAAGGCTGTTCACGGTCGCTAAGACCGTGAACAGAAGCCATAAATTGTGAACCCCAGGATGTGAAGCAGTGTATTTTGGTTTAGACACTGTGTTCACGGACGCGTTTTGATGTTCACAGCCATGAACTCAGGCCAGGAACTGGGCTCGATCTTAGTTTAAAGAGCCAGCTCAAAGGAAGAAGAAGGGGAGAGACCTAGTGTAAGAAATTTCTTCATTCAGATTTAGAGTGAGAAAATGACGAACCAAAGAAGATGAGAAGCTAGGGTTTCATCTCCAAGCAAGGAATTGGGAATTCCTCCCCCAAAGGAGGATCTCTTCAACACAAGGAGCAAGGCTTGCATCTTCTTGATGGTTTCCCTTTCCCTCTCTTGTGTTTTCCCTTCTCCTAGCATGGAGTAGTCCCTTCTTTCACTTGGGTGTTTGTAAACCCTAGAAACAATTATGTGAATGCTTGTATGAATTGAATGATTTGTGTGTGGTTGTGTTCAATATGAATGTGGAGGTATTTTTCATGATGATCGTGTTTGCTATGTTGACCTAGCTTAGAGAGGAGACCTCCTTAGGTTAAGAGGCTATATTAGAGATGGTTGTTCTTGGGCATTGCATGGCTCCAAGGCTAGTTTAGAAAAGAAACCTCCTTTATCCAAAGAGGCTCAATTTGAGCAGGGTTTCATTGGGCATTCAAAACTTCCTAGACTAGTTTAGAGAGAACCCTCCTTAACCTAAGAGGCTCTATTAGAGATGGGTTTCCTTGGGCATTTCTGGCCTCCTATTCTAGGTTAATTAAAGGCAAACGTCCTATTTATTATTAGCACTTAGGGTTTGGTTGTGGTTGGCTGCTCGAACTCTAATTCGAGGGTGAAGTCTAACCATTCCTTAATCTATAGGTTGAGAGGGTCGCATTAGCGGCTAGGACCATATCCCATTTCCTCAAGCTAGAGATAAAGAGGGTATCCTTGGTAATTTGTTAGACTTCCCTGCGGTTTATAACCCCTTAACCACATACGGTCGTTCGATTCTTCAAGTCGTAATTGTTAGCTAGGAGAGCAACACCCGGGTGAAGCCTTCTCAATTAGTGTCAAATCCATTTTACCTTTGCAAAGTAATTTAGCTTTAGACCTTTGTTTTCACAAAAACTCATTCGCTTTATAATGTTTCAAACAATCGAAGTAGCGGTACATGGCCCGGCTCGGGTTGATATTTAAACATGCTTGCCCTATATTGCATCCATCTAAGGTTTATACTTGGGCCTTAGGTGGGATTTTATTGTGATAGTCAGAGCGAGTCAAGTTTGTGGCGCCGTTGCCGGGGAGGCATTGGGATTGAATATCTTCTCCTATTCATTGGCGGGGAAGGCAATCCGATGGCTCAACAACCTTCCGAATCTATCCATCATCACTTGGGACAACCTACTCAACAAGTTCATGACCTGATATTGTCCTCCTTCCTAGACGGCCGGGTGGAGGAAGAAGATCACTCACTTTGAGCAAGAATAAGGCTGAGACATTGAGGGATGCATGGGAAAAATTCTCCGACTACTTCCTGCAATGCCCTCACCATGCATTCGAGGAGAAATTTTGGATAGAAACTTTCTATAGAGGACTTATCTAAGACGACAAGATCCTCATCGACTCTTTTTAAGTTGATGAACATGACCCCTCCTCATGTGACCGAGTTGCTCAAAGATATGGCCCTCAAGGGATATGATTGGGGCTTGACAAGAAGTGGGAAAAGAAGCACCGAAAGAGGAGTGCCAATTGTGGGAGCAAGTGCTCCACTTGAAGCGAAGCTTGACAAGTTGATCGAGGTGATCCTTAAGGACAAGAAGCAAGGGAAGAGAGCGGTGATGTCTTGTGATTGGTGTTCAAGCACTAATCATGAAATTTCGGATTGCCAAGCGATGAAGGAGACAAGTACCCCCGAGGAGCAAGTGAGTTTCATCCCCAATGCTAGAGGGAGCAACCCTTATAGCAACACCTACAACCCCGGATTCGGGCGGATATCCACGAATATTTTTTCTATCCCTAACCCTAACAATCCAAGACCTCCCGGTTTCCAAGTTTGAACGAGAAACTATCAACCTCGGCCAACCTTCATCCAACAAAGTCCTCAATTCCAATACTCGAACTTCCAACAACCATACCAAGCACAAGGTGGTCAAGGGTTTCAATAACAACAAGTCTACAAGTTCTCTAAGCTTAAATACCTTTGTGACCACCTTTGTGAGTACAAGCTCTGAGAAGATCGAGAAGATTGAGCAATTCATGGATGTGGAAACCTCCAAGTTTAACTCGGTTGAGGCGGGACTCCGAAGCCATCAAGCAAGTCTACAAAAATTGGAAGTGCAAATAAGCAATCTTACCGGGATCCTCACCGAGAGACCAAAGAGAGCCCTACCCTCTCAAACCATTACCAACCCCAAGGATCATGCCGAGGTGAATGCAATCCATTTGAGGAGCAAGAAGGTGACTTCGGAGGTCATTGCCAAAGAAGTGAATGAGAAGGAAGACTCTCTACCTGAGGGTGAAGAAGAAGAAACCTCGGGAGAAAAGAGAGGAGTGGCGAGGAAGGAGTTGCCGACGCCACCACCTGTGGCTGAGTACATGCCACCCCTACCTTTTCCCATGAGGGTGCACAAGGAAAGATTGGAAGCAGAATGTGGAGGTTTCATGGAGATGCTCCGAAAGCTTCACCTCAACATTCCCTTCCTTGAAGCAATGACCCACATGCCAAGGTATTCAAGATAACTCAAGGGGTTTCTCTCCAAGAAGCCAAAGTCTGAAGACCTCGCCAATGTCACCCTAGGCGAGGAGTGCTCAGCCTTCATCCTCAACAGGTTTCCCAAGAAGAAACCCGATCTAGGTAGTTTCACTATACCTCTTTGCATCGGTTCTCATCACATAGAAAACTCCTTGGCGTACTTAGGAACGAGCATAAATGTGATGCCATATAAGCTTTTTAAGAGGATAGACATAGGTGAACTAAAGACTACAAGGCTTAGTGTCA